AAGGTTTGTGTCACCCCCGAGCCCTTTTGGAGGATCCGACAATGTCCTTGTTGGTACTACAATCACTCGCTACTCGTCATAACATAAAAATAATAACGAGATGAGCCAAATCTCGGTAAGTGAGGTGATGCATATGATATGCAATACTTTTCCGACTTCCCATGATACTCATTAATTTTAAAGTTTAGGTACCACGGGTATTAGCGGTCTACTCTATAGCCGATTACCAAATCACCGAATGCTAACAATAGAATTATCCCTCGTTATAGCCACTCCAAACGGGAATCCATCGCTTAATAGTGCGGGCACATAGCTGGACCGCTAACCCCTTTTTCTTTAATTATGTTACCACCCCTATCCATACACATCACTTTTAACCATTTAATTCTTTCTCAATTCCTTCCCACCAATGCACGTGATGCACGTGATACCATGTTACCATGTTTAACTTATTGCGGGTATCAAACCTATACTATCGATTCGTTCTTCACTTGACATATGTAATTAGTAGCATTTTAAACTAGTTTAAAACATACTAAGGTGACATTTTCTCTCCGAACCCAAATTGGGGCATTTTGGGTCGAATTGGGCTTTTAAATATTCTAGGTCAAAATTTCGATTTACCTAGTAATTTTTTTTCCTGTCTAAACATCCTCTTATACTTATTAGGGTGTACTCAAACCATTAACTATGGAATTGAAGGATTGGAATCCAAATCCTCACAGTTTAGGGTTTAAGCCGAATAGGTCCTTAAAGTGGCCAGAGATTACTTTTTCATCCCAACTTACTAATGTATACCTAATTAAATTGTACTTGAGTCCTATGCTCTTAATTACATAAAATGGGTCCAATCTTATTCATTTTCTTACTTAGGTCGAAAGGGTTCTTGAGTGAAACCTTAGGAATTCATTTTTTCCTCCTTTTCAATTTGTGGTTTATTATAGAGCGACCTCTAATTAAGTAGGCAACGTACCAACTTCCGAGCATAATTAAATCCTATAATTTTGTTATTATAAACTAGACATATTGATTTATAACATATCCAAAATTAGGTTTAAATATCGAACACACAATTCATAAGATAATTTTGAAGTTTAAGATTCAATCTATCCAAGCAGTAGTTCACCAAGCATAGTCCGTACTAAAATGTGCATAACTCTTTCTATATAAACACAATAATAAAAAAAATTTACAAGGAGTTAGTCAAGAAATAGATAAACAAGTTTTATTCTTTAATGTTCATCCAGAAATCAACCTAAGGTCCTTGAACGGGCAATACCAAATTCGGACGTAAACTACTCCTTAATAACACCGATTTAGCCATTCATTCGAACCTACATTAACCATGTTTTAGTCCAATTAAATTTCAATCCAAGTCCAATCCAACTCATTTCCACATACTTGGACATGCACTAGGCATTATAAACATCACAATTCATCACCTACACAACATTCACAAGTAGATCAAGCCAATACATCATAAATCCACCAACACAAACCAAGCTCAACAATACAACAAACAACTCAACCAATAAATAATTCAAACACATAAAAATGGAAATTAAAAGCAGAAATAAAACCTACTTATGTAGCTTATATGTGGTTGGATTTCCTTAGATTTTCTTTCTTTCTTTTCCTTTCCTTTTCTTTTTCTTTCTCTCTTTCTTATCATTTTTCTCTCCTAATTTGGTGGTTTTGGTTTGCTAAAAATTCTTACCATCTTAACACTTTCTATATATATATATATATACGTACTTTTCCTTTTAAGTGAGTGAAGTTACAAGTGTTGAAAATTAATGGGACAAGGTGTAAAAGTTATGGGTGAGTCATGTGAGAGGTGGTGGGTTTAGGACAAAAAAAGGGGTAAGTTGGCTATTAATTCATTTAATGCATTGCTTAGGTGTCTAACTAAAAACTTAGGTTAACTAAACACCCTAATTAACTTGATTCAAGTAACTAAGCATAGTTTCCTTCATGAAATTTTAGAAATTTCCTTTTTAAAACTCGAAAATTCCTTGTCCATTCTTTTCTCAAAAATTCTAGTAGTCGTACATCAAAACGAGTCTATACCAAATCGACCATAAATTTATATATATAGATTTACAATTCATGAAATTTTACAAAGAGGTAGTATACATATACATGAACAACTTTTGTTCTTTGAGCTTTACCTAGAAATCACTCTAAAATCCTTGAATAAATCACACAAAAGTCGGACAAAATATAGTCCTCAAGCACATCGATTTTGCATATTTGATTTCTTAAATAATTAAACCATTAATCTCAAGCACAATAACTTTAATTTAACATAAATCACATATTTCAAGCATTAATTTCTCATGGTGTAATGAGAATTATACTTATACTTAATACATGTATATATATATATATATATATATATATATGTTCTAATACGTGTCGATTGACGGTTAAGGATTTTTTTACTGGGGTACAATTGGTTTGGCTAAAGGTGGGTTTTGGTTGAGTTTTTGGTAATGGCATTTAATGGATTTGATTGGACGTGGGTTTCATTTTTCTTTTTATGAGCGGTGGTTGATGAAGAGGGTCTTGATAGTTGTTGGGTTTTAGGAAATAGAGGGTGGCTCTGTGTTATAGATGGTAAGGGAGACAAAAAAATTTTACGACGATAGAGGGTAATTGAGATGAATTTTTTTAATGGTAATTTGAATTTGTTGATGATGAGGTAGAAAGTGGTTTTTGTGAAAGTGGAGGGTGGTTGGGATGAGGGTTTGAGGTAGTGACAATGGTAGAGGTTTTGAAGTGCGTTAGGATTGATAGCAGTGGTGGTCGGCTATAAGAGAGGACATTTGGCCAAGCTAACGAGTGATGGTGATTAAGGAGTGGTCGTGGAGGATGCTCGGGATCGGTTAGTTTGTAGAGGCTACTTAATGTTACATAGTAGTGACGGCTAGAGATGATCGACATTGGTTAGTTCGTGGAGGAGGAGCCACGATATGGCTATAACTTCTCTCTCATTTCTTTTCTCTATCTCTTGTATGTCTTTTTTTTTTTTCGTTATGTGTTTTGCCCTTTTTTTTTTTTTTTTTGCTATAGTATAAAAGTGCTTTTATAGTGGATGTTTAGGTTTAGATGGCCAAGGTTTAATTTGGTCTTATCTTGTGTATCCTTTTTATTTTCATCTTTCATCTATTTATTTCTTTCTAAATGTGTCTCCGATTAATCATTTTTCGATCTTTCAATTCGACCAATTTCATCTCCAATTAAAACTCGTTGTCGTCTCATTTTTTTTTCAATTACACCTCTCGGCATGGCTTTTTTTGATCCCACTTCTCTCTCGTTTTTTTTTTTTTCAATTAGCCCCCAAAATACTAATTTTCCCAATTTATCTCCTCCACCTTTTCTTTTCTCTCTCTCTCTCTCTTTCTCTCTCTTTGAAGAAATCATGACATTAAATTGGTGATAAAAATTGAATGCTAACAACCATAATTTGAACTCATTTTGTAAAGATAATACCAACTAACAACCAAAGAAACACTCCATTCGAATAACAAAGCTTATCACAAAGATTTATGGCATGCTCTCCAATTCATATAATAAGAAAACTTATCACAAACACATAACTTGATGTGTAATTTTTATCACGACAAATACATAGCATTAAACTTAAATACACATGTCATGTTATTATTGGGCATGAGTATTACTTATGTGTCAAACGTGAAACCTTCACTAGACAACAAAAAATGCTTATGTGCACATTAGGAAGCCTTCCAACAATGAAAACTTCGATTTACATATTGTTATTGACTTTTTTTTTCCAAATAAAGAAAATAAATGTTTAAATTATTATGAAGGTAAATATATTTATTTATTTTTATATACTACTCAAAGTCTCACATATATTTTTTTAAGTTTCTAATTGCATCTCATTTGTCCCTAAAAGTGTTTGAAATGTTCAATTTATCATTCCTATCAATTTTAAGGGCCAAATAAAAAAGAAATTGGTTGAAAAATACCCCTAATTGAAATGAAAAAAAAAAATCTAAAGACTTCAAAAATATAACATGTAAGTCATATGACTTTATATATAAAGTCATATATATATTTGCATTTTAATAAATGGCATTTCAGTCAAAAAACATTTATGGTTGAAAAATTTGATCGAAAGATAGATTAAATGTTTTAATTTTTTTTAGAGATAAATAGGGGGCTTTAAGTATTATATAAAAACAAATGTATATATTTACCCTATTTATGATTATTATTTTATCTTTTTAATTGAAGAAGGAAACTAACATCTTATATAACTAGCCTATTTAATTACTTATATGATTTATTAATTTTATTTATTAATTTTATCTTTTGGAGTTAGTAAATCAATTTAAGTTTTTGAATATATATATCAATTTTTTTTAGGACATCCATCCCTTTACAATGGAATCACCTTCTAACATTTTAAATACTATTCCACGAATAAAACTCAACATGTGTGTTCAAACTTACATAATATGTAAATAATTTAAATGATTCATATAGTTTTAATTTGGGCAATTACATCTCTATATTCTAAATTAATAATATAAACTTTATTTTATTACAATCTCAATACTTTAAAGGTAAATTATTCCATTAAACCTCCTAGACATTGGTAAAAAGAAACAGTAAATTCTAAACCTACCACACTCTCTGGTTTGGTGGCTGTGCCTCATCAATAATTCCAATTTCCATTTTCCTTAGTCCTTTGCTTTTCAACTTATTCTAATCCCCGAAGCTTCGATTCATCACTTCCCTCTATCTCTAACCTTATATTTGGTTGCTGCTGTTCTCTTCTCGCGCGGCTAGATTTTGCTTAGCTCTTTCATTTTACAAAATAAATTAGTTCCTGGTGAGAGAAAGAGATATGGCTTCTGATCCTGAACAGCTCACGCTCTCTTCCCTCGGAAAGGTTCATTAATTTTAATTCTACATCTGACCTTTTTTTTTTCATTGCCTTCGTTTTCTGTTTGGTTGCTGAAAGAATGAAGCAAGCAAGAGTAAGAGAAATTGAACATGACGATTCTTGAAAATGGAACTTGATAAAAATAACTGTTTTCTGTAGTGAATTTAAGTCTAATTCTAGTTTGCATATTTGAATGAATTCTCTTTGATTTTCCTTTCTTGACTGGAAAATCAAACTGACAAAAGTTCTTTTGGTACCTGAGAAAAATGTTAGAAGATAGAAATAACTAAGGTTTTTATTATTTTGTTAATAATTGGAAACATTGCTAAAAGGGTTTGTGGTGATCAGGAGGGAAAGTGCTCAGGAGAGATTGGTGGTGCAGAAGAGCCTCTTCTTAATGGGAGGATTAAAACTTCAGAGAATTATTCTCTTGTTTCTGCAATCTTCCCGTGAGCTTTTATTGTATTTCAATTTCAATGTGTTTTTTTTGTCGGTTTATTAAATCATTGTTGCTTCCTATCATATACTCTTAAAAGCCATGATCATGGTATTTGATGACTGGCTGCTCATATTTATTCCTCAGTTGTCCTATTGACACATGAAATAGTCTGCCAAATGCACTAGCTCTGATTCTGGAATTGAAAATATTTTGTTTTTCCTTATTTCCAGTTGAATTAATCAGGATGAATAGTTTGTTATGAATTAAAAAATGTCTTGGATCTCTCGTTTTCGGTGTTGTACTTGTGGTGCTTTTAGGGCTATTTCCTTGGCTGATATTCAGTTGCATTGGGGTGCTTTTTTATGATATATTGTTTCTTTTATCTAAAAAGGAAGCTTTTGATTCAAATAAGCCAAAGTTTTGATTCCCAGGTTCTTAGTATGGGCACAGAATTGTAAAAATTGGAATATGCTAAATTCTCATGTCGATTTAATTGTATATGAATATAGGAGAAAATGGCATTTTAAAATTTCGTAATTGATTGAAACTCAAAACAATTCTTCTGATTCAGACCTTTAGTATCACAGTTTTACCAATTTGGAGATGATTTTGAGTCATGTCATTCATATGCCTCCAAACATATGTTACTTGTTGTGCTTCAACGACATCTTTAAATGTGTCTTCAAGTTTCAAAACAATTTGTAAAGGCTTATTTATTCCACCTGTTACTTCAAAATTCTCAGATAAAAGAGTTGTCCATCTCAGTCAGTGATGTTAATCAGGTGCAGAAGGGCTAGGAGGAAGGAATTTGGCTTAGATGCTGAATTTTGGACAGAGAATTTGATTTTCTTAACATGTTTGTATGGCAGAGAAAGTGAAGCAAAAAAAAAAAAAAAAAAAAAAAAAAAAAAAAAAAGAAACTATCGAGAACGGAATAGAAGGGGAGGCCTGGTGGCACTCTCACATAAACACTCAACTTCTTTTTATTCAACAATTTACTAATCCCAAAAGAGCACATGATATGTTCATTTTTCTAGTCATCATCTGTGGAATACGGGTTTTCCTATTTAACATTTTAAAGCTAAGAATTAGAAAACTAATGAACTGCGCAAGAAAGAATATTTTACTGCCGTTTCTTTATTTTCTTTCTTTTTTATCACCGAAAGTTTTCACATACATGTCCCTCAAACGAGGTAACATGAGATGTTGGTGTTTGAGCTTATGAATCATTAGTGCTATTATCATTTGTTTTTGACTAGCCAATGGAGAAATTATGATTCCACCATTGACTTTAAACATTTTCTACAATCACTTTGAGTGCTGTCACTAATGCTTGATAAGTTGTGGCCAACAGATTATAGGGTCATTATTTGAGTATAACTGCATTTGTCTACCCTTTTAATACTCAAGGAGTGTCTTGTTTTTCTCAGATTTCTATTTCCAGCTCTTGGAGGACTATTATATGGTTATGATATTGGTTCCACATCCTGTGCTACAATATCAATACAGGTGTGCTTTTACTGAGATAACTACCTGTGGAAAGATAATTCTTCGGTGCTCATCCATTTTTTTCCTACTGTACACTGACTTGTTCCTATATGTACTCAATAAAAAGTATTGCTAATTGCCCAAAAGACGTATCTTTAAAGTGTTGCAATAATGATTGTCAGCATACAATAAACCTTATCGAACACCTTGAGGGATGTTGAAACATATAAACTTTTGCTTTGAATATTTCCTTCTTTAGTGTTTAAGAAGGCACCAGAGTACAGACTTATTATGTCAGTGAGTGGGATGATCTTTTGATACTTCGAGATATCAGTCAAAATTATGAATCCTTTTGTCTTTGCTTCCTAACTTGTTAATGCCTTTTCTTGTCCTGCAGTCAGCCACATTAAGTGGGATTTCATGGTACAACTTGAATTCTGTGGACATTGGGCTCATTGTGAGTTTGTATTAACTGTTACTAGTCATGCTTCATGGATTGCAACTTCTTGTATTCAACATCCCCCTCCTTTCCCTCACAAACCCCAAGTCTTGAAGAACTGTTGATTAAATTCTGTGATAAATTTTTAGGAAACAATTACTTAATAATTTGTGGCCATTCTTTCTGGCAGACCAGCGGATCATTGTACGGGGCATTGATTGGTTCTGTCTTGGCCTTTAATATTGCTGACTTTCTAGGTTAGTTATTTTTCGTTTTAAATGACAAATATAAGATCAATGCAAATGTCCTTTTTGTGTTGAAGTTGAAATATATTAATTTTACTTGAAGGGAGAAGAAGAGAGTTGATTCTATCTGCTTTCTTGTACCTTGTTGGAGCGCTTGTGACAGCCCTAGCACCTGCCTTTGCTGTTATGGTGGTTGGGCGGTTTGTATTTGGTATTGGAATAGGATTGGTAAAACACACTATGCTCTTCCCTCTTATATTATGCACACTTGTTCAGTACAAACATAATTGCTCATGCTTGTTAGGCTGTAATATATGCAGGTCAAGAACAAAATATTGCTGCTTATATTTAAAGAAAGACTTCCCATGCAAATTTATCCTAGATTTATTTTCTATAGTTATGCATCTTTTGCAGACCTTTAAGTGTTAGTTTCTCTACTTTTAGGCAATGCATGCAGCTCCAATGTACATTGCTGAGACAGCTCCAAGTCAGATACGTGGTCAACTAATCTCTCTGAAAGAGTTCTTCATAGTCCTCGGGATGGTTGTAAGTTCTTTGTGTTGCTTTGAGGACTTCAGAGTACTTTTAGAGCTTACATTTTATGGTGCCAATAATTGCTGCACCAAGAAACTTTTCCCTCCATAAACTTCTATTTGTTTTGTTTTAAATGATCAAAACAGTAAAGAGCTAAATTTTTGTGCAGGCAGGTTATGGAATCGGTAGCCTAACAGTTGATACTGTAGCTGGTTGGCGCTATATGTATGGAGCCAGTACTCCTTTGGCAATGATCATGGGAATTGGAATGTGGTGGCTACCAGCATCACCCAGATGGCTGCTATTATGTGCCATACAAGGAAAAGGCAGTATGCAGGAGTTAAGAGAAGCTGCAATATGTTGCTTATGCCGGCTCAGGGGTGAGGCTATTGGTGACACTGCTTCTAGTAAAGTAGATGAGATTCTTGCCGAACTTGCTTTTGTTGGCGAAGAAAAGGAAGTTGCACTAGCAGAAGTTTTCCGAGGAAAATGCTTGAAAGCCCTCACTATTGGTGCAGGGCTAGTTTTGTTCCAACAAGTATGTCTACTACTCAAATGAGATCATAGAAAATCCTGAATGTATTACATTATTGCTTATACAGAATGCATTCTCATGACAGATCACAGGTCAACCAAGTGTGCTGTATTATGCTGCATCAATTCTTCAGGTACTCTTTGATTAAGATTTAGGATACTATGCAATTATCAACACAACTTTATGTTTCACTCGGCCTTAATGGAAGTGCACTTTCGTACCAAGTTCCTAACCAATATAATCTGATAGAGTGCTGGATTTTCTGCGGCATCTGATGCAACACGGGTCTCAATCCTTCTTGGTTTATTAAAGGTACATTCTCTCAATATACGAAGTGAAAAATCTATCGTAAGTGCACCTTATGAAGTATCAAATATCTGAAATTAGTAGGAAGAAAGTTCTTTTGTCAGTTGTTAAGGGTTATTCAGGCTAGAATTGTATGTTTTTTGGATGACATATAATTGATTGCCTTTTTAAATCACAGTTACAATGGCAGTTGTGATTGTGGTCATGGCATCATGACCTATTTTGGATGTTACACCTCAGTCGTGGACATCATAGGTGTGAATTTTTTAAAAAATTTAGCATGTTGTTTCTAATGTTCAGATTTTTAAATAATTGTACTAGAAGGCAATTCTAATGCTACAATGAAAAATACCTTTATTTGACATGATTCTAAACTTGTAGCTCTTTAGCTCAATCACATGCTTATCCATGAGATTGTAAAAACCTTTTAGTACAAAAAGGACTACAGCAAATGAAACTTTTCCAGAATAAAAACATTGAAAAACAAAAGAAATCATGAACTAAAACAATTAAAATTTTCAAGTCTTAACGAATGTGATGACTGTGACAGCTGTTTCATAACAGTTGAAATGACAAAATAACATTACAGGTTTGATTTGTGATTACAATTCTGTTGCATATTCAACTTTTGTACTCGAGGACTCTTTTAACCATATGTAATTGAGGCTTCTTATAAGTCTACTCTTTGGGGCAAAAATTTCAACAATTCCACAAGTACTGCTACTCTTCCCTTAGCTTCCATTAGGTTGCATTCATGTTGAACACAACTTTTCTGCTATGCAGAAATAATAAAAAATTGCTGCCATTAGTTTATTCCATGTTTTGCGTGCTTGTGCACGCATGTTTTAGCTCTTGCTTTATTGCTTCTAATATTTGAATTTGGATGTTTAATTGCAAGGTTTTGTATGTAACTCGCTGATGCAGAATTTGTAATTGGCCATAAATCTGGATAAAAACTTCTCATTTATCTCTCTTCAAAGTTTTCAAGTATGGTATGCATGGGTCTGGTCAAAGTTTTTCGAGAGGGTAGATAAGTTGTTTGAAAGCCACCCATTGCATAATCTTACATGCATCATAACTGTACCTTGCGAATTCAGTTATGCTTGCTATTTTCCCTTCCAACAAAACTTATTATTCATATTCGGTAGATTCTCCTTTTGAATTGATGTCTTATTATTTTGATATTAGGATGAGCTTTAATTCACTTATGTGTATACACACGTGCACACACAAGTCAATTGGTATATATATTCGTTCAAGTATGTAAGCATGTTTTCTCTTCAGAGTCAATGTCTCCTTCTTCTGGAATTTTCTGAGATGGAATTTTGTTTTTGTAGTTAATCATGACAGGAATAGCTGTTCTTGTTGTTGATAGACTTGGAAGGCGACCTCTGCTACTCGGTGGTGTTTCTGGGATGGTAAGGATGCTGCAGCCTCCCTACCCCTGTCCCCCATCCTTTTTTTTTGGTTTCCTGATGCCAAGGCTGCACCTGGGGTTTGTTGGGGGATTTGGATGAAGGGATGACATCAAATTATACACTTTTGTAACTTTGCTGAAGTATATGCTATGTCTGTGACAGGTTATCTCGTTATTCCTCCTGGGATCATATTACATTTTTCTGGATCATGCACCATTTGTTGCTGTAGCTGCACTGCTATTGTATGTTGGATGTTATCAGGTATTCAAGCAACTATAAGAAAATTTCAGCATGGCTGTAATTTAAATTATCATTTTGAGTATGTTCGTATCCGTTGTGTTGATCATGAATATAATTGTTTGAGTAGAATTATGTTTTAGAAATACAAATTCTGATGAGGAACCAAGAGATGGAGAAAACCTAAATAAAGGCAGCCAACTTCTGAAACTAAGTTTGTTTGATTAGTCAATTATAAAGCCTGTCTAGTGTTTGGGTGCTTTTTACATGCTAAAATTCATTACAAAATAGAGAAACCAAATCCTAATAAAATTAACACATATGGTTCCAATGCTTCCTAAATAGTTTTGGAACAGCATTCATATTATAAATTATCAGTGTACATATTGTCACAACAATTTGGCCACATGTTACGGTTAGGATAAACTTTAGTTCTTGGAAAAGTATGGGAAGAATTTACCACACTATTGTGATTTACTGCGTGTTGCAGCAAAAAAAAAAAAAAAAAAAAAGTCATTTATATAATTAATTGGGAATTTGTTTAAAGTTACATTAGAACACCTGTTTTTTTCCACCTTCTGTTCTCCCAACTTATGATTCTTTGTTTCAAATATGTTACCTATATCAATGTGCCTCATAATATTGGTTTTTGCAGTTATCCTTTGGTCCTATTAGTTGGCTGATGATTTCAGAGATTTTTCCCTTACGCCTAAGGGGACGGGGGCTCAGTATAGCAGTGCTTGTGAATTTTGGTGCAAATGCACTTGTGACATTTGCATTTTCCCCTTTGAAGGTACACAATTTTGAACTATAAGTTCCCAAAGATATTCCACTTAAATTACTGTGATCCTTCTATCTAAAATTTAAAGAAAAATGTGTTCTTTTGATGCTTAGATTCTACTTTTACAAAATCTAAATTGTATGAATTGACTTGTTCTATTCCCCGTCAATAAAAATAGCTTGGTGAGAATCCATTAAATAATAACTCTACCTTTATTCTCTCCGTATTTATTCCACCTAACTTTCCAACATTACAAGGAGGCTCATAATTTTCTCTCTTTTTGGTACTTCGCTTATAACTCATTATAACTCTTCATTTGGTAGATGCCTTATAGATCTGAAACTATTAATAGAATTAATGATTATTTTTATTTTTCCTATCAAACCTTATTATTATTTATATAATAAAAAAATCCAACAATTAGTAAATGTAAAACCATAATGTAGATGACTTAGTAATATTGTAGTAAACTTCGAAATACGTAGATAATAGCACTATTGGTTTCTTATTTTTATATTGGATATTCATATTGTTATGGTCCATATCATCAGAATAGTTTTACCCTTAAACATATATTATACCATCTGTCTTTTGGTATAATTGCATGAAATGGCTCCATCATCAAAACCCAAGGTTATTTGATAGTTTGTCGGGAGATACCTTGCCCCATTGAAAGCTCTTAAGTAATTCATCGAATTCAATTATCTTCTAAAGTGGCCATCAAGAAAATTGTTATTTAGTTTGTTATTTAACAAAATTAGCATTTTCATTTTTAAGAATTTCTTTTTTGAGATCATATAACGTATTTGTACATATGTGATATTTTTACAATGTTGCAAAATGTGATAAAACCATTAAAAAAAGTTTAGATTTATGTTCAATTTTTTTTTTAACTACTTTGAATAATACATGTGCATTCCCTTGAGCAAAAAAGATTAGTCCTTAAAAAAGTGCCTTTTAGTGGTACAACCTTAGTACTTTAATAGTAAAATAGACCACAAAAGAAAAAGTGCCTTTTAGTGGTACAAGTACAACCTCAGTACTTAAATAATATTAAAATAGACAACAAAAAAGAAATTGGAGAGATGACACCTACAGATGCAAGATGTCTACAAAATCGCGGAAGGATCCAGAAACAATGGAACCCTATAACTACTGAAGTAGAGAATTGACAAGATCATCTACTTGAGTGTGACCATTGATTTCTCAAACCATTGAATGCCTGATGCTTTTTGTGGTGTTTAAATTAGGGTTCAAAGTATCTATTTCGAGATCAGTTTACTTGCAGAATTATTTGGAATTGGATAATCAATAGTGAATACAGAAAACCATGTTTTTTGCCAATTTAACATGTAAAATCATTAGTGAATTAGATGGTGAAATATGGAATACACACACACACATATACTAACATAACTATTTTGGAAATTTTGAAGCGGTGAAGGGTTGCTGCAGAATTGTGTGACCATTGTGACTGCTTTCTATGGCCATACAGCTTGTTTTATTGGATTTCAAGTTTGCACTTCATAGTAAGAAAGGACTTCTAGGAAGATGCACATAGCTGAATTGAGTGCATTAACGTAGTTGGGTAGCAACACAAGAGACTGAACAGACTAAAAAATAGTGATTCTACTGAAAGTCAATCAGAGAAGAAAAGATAGACTTGCTCTGTTGCTCATAATGGTCTGATGATTAAAAAGAAGGCTGAAGACAATAACAGATGGAGTGATTCAAGCTCAAATTGAAGCATTCTAGGTACTAGAAAAAGGCATGAAGAATTAAGCCTTAGCTGTGAGATATGACATGATTTATGAGCAGAATGGCCTTCAATGGAGATTGTTGACTAATAATATTTTGTATCTAGCGTGAATTAGCTGGGGCAAAGCTTTGAAAGGCTTATTTGATTATTAAATGGAGAGTTTATTATTATTATTATTAATTTTTTTTTTTTTTTTTGTGAAATGGATGTTTTGAAGGCTTTGTTTTCAAATTATCTACCACATCCGTCTCCATCATTTATTGTATTTGCCTCCCCCATATGGTTCTTTTAGGAGTGCATAATTTATGTAAAATAAGGTTTCATTGCATGTTTTCTGAATCTTGTCTAGTTGCATTAGAGCCATGGTTCTAGTGGGTTCCTGAAAAACATAAGGTTACGAGGTCACCTATTTTAATTTAATGTTGAAAATTTTCTGTTTTTAAATGCTCCTGAACCGCTAATTCCTGTAACAGCACATTCGGAAGGTACATTTACAGCATTTAGTTTAGGGGGAGGGTGGTAGTGAAGAGCCTACAGCTTTCAATGGCCAAGTCTCCACCCTCATTACTACCTCCAAGCTCTAGATGTGCACGTCTTTAACTTCCATTCTGCTATGGGTCATGATTATGAATAATATTTAATGATCTTTATACATCTGGTTGCAGGCATGGCTGGGAGCTGGGATTTTATTCTATGTATTTGGAGTAATAGCTCTGCTGTCTCTCCTTTTCATATTCTTCGTTGTACCAGAGACCAAAGGGCTCACTCTCGAGGAAATCGAGGCCAAATGTTTATAGGTTTTATTGTGTCTTTCCCTGTAGTCTAGTTACTGCAGGCTAGGAGGGTATACTGTTTTATACTTTACTTTTTACACGCTGTATTATTTGTAACCGAATAAATTGCTTAATTATATGTCAGATCAGAGCAGAAAACCTTATTTATATATTTTGTATTCGGTTTTATTTATTTATTTATTTTTCCTAATAAGTACAATAATGGAATAAAATTTTTCTTTAATATGTTTATGTATTCGAAAATAAATTCAGGGGACCCGAATGGAGCGCTTTGATTTGTTACCTATACAAAGCAGCTTTATATGCCAACGGTGCTTGGTATACATCTGAAGCAGATTTTTTTTTAACTATTTGAGTTTAAATCTTGGAGCTAACATAAACTAAATTTATTACATTCTTTTGATACCATGTATCAGATCTATGTAAGGGTATATTTACCAAAAAACTTGTAATTTATTGATAGTAGTTCATTGTAACAAGAGAATTCGAGTTTAAATTCTAAGAATTTAGTTCTGTTAGAAGCATCGAAACATGTAAGTGTAAAAAAAAATAACAATGTAAGGATATATTTTGATATATAAGTGATAAGCTAGTATGCACTTACCATATATATATATGAAGGAACTTTACAATGAATAATAAAACAACTTTTTTGTGGTCTATCATCTTTCTGTAATTATTGTTTAGGATGGCAAAGTTATCCGTTTGAGTTTGAGTTGAGCTTTTCGGACAATGATCACTTCATTATGAAATTAATTGTAGTAAATGAAAATGTTGTCAAAGTTATGTTACATAATTCTAATTGTAATGATTAGTTATTAAAATGGTAGAGATGGTTAAATGACATGGTGGTTCATGAATGATTGGTTATTTTATTTTATATTTATAATTGGTATTAAATGTAATAATATTTGGGAAGCAGATCAGGACCAGGGAATGGAGCAGGCCAGCACCTGCAAGCCCATAAAAGAAAAAGCCCTAAACAGTAAATATGGGAGTATATAAATAAATATATTCTAGGGTTGTGACTTGTGAGGGAAAGATAGGTCGATCAGATGGCGAAGTTCAACGTAGTGCAGAAGAGAAGAAGAGCACAAATAGCAGAGACCAAGAGGGCAATACACGGAGACGCATTAACTAAAAAGCTTAAGAACAGAACCCAGCCCGTCTCTATCTCTGGGAAGCGCAAGCGCAAGCTCTTGAAAAAATGGCGCAGAGTATGTTTTCCTTTTCTTCGATTACTTTTAACAACTCTTTTTATCTTTTGTAATTGTAATGTTTTGTTTTTGTGTTGCGCTTATTTTCAGGAGCAGAAGGAGGCTGTAGACACGGGTTTGGTCACTATGCAAGACGTCGAGATGGCTTTTGCTCCAGGTTTTTTTTTTTTACTTATTCGAGTGGAACGAACTAGAATTAATTACTCCTACGTTGTCATTTTTAAAATTTTTATTTATTACACTAAAAGTATTAACCGATATGTTCATCAATTATACTTCTTTTTTTTTTTCAAGGAATGATCAAAGCAGTGCATTTTCTTTTCGGTACTGGATGATTTTATATGCTTCTGAGTTATTTATTTATTTACTACTTGTGGGTTAGGTGAAATAGATTTTTTAGAGGGTTCGAGTAGATTTAGGTTCTAGTACTATACAATAGCTTTGTTATCAGATGTCGACTACGAGGGAAAGAAATCTAGATATTCCAAAGAATTTTTGTTCTTGTTGTGTAGAATCGGCTTAATTCAAACCATACTAGAAAGAATCGGAGCTGAGATTATCAGCACCTGCACTGTTTTATGAAGCGAATGCTTCTACTCTTTTAGATTTTCCGAAATATGTTAGTTTCTGTTTGGCCCTATAAAGCAAAGTTGTTAACTAACCCCTGACGATTGTTGTAGTTATTGTGGCATGGTCTGTAAAGGTATGTGAACCATGGCATGCTAATTTAATGGAAACTATATTTAAGTTTCTGCAAGTGTGTATGACTTCAATTTTGTATTACTTTCTACATGGCATATTATAATAAAGCTGATGCAAGTCAATTTCTCAGGAGAGGGCACGTCCAAAGATGCCAAAAGAACTCCAGTAAAATTTCACATGAAGAAGGGCACGAAGCTTAAGCAATTGAAGCGCAAAGGTATGTAATCTCTGTTTGGCATATAAAAAAGTTGCATTCTGCCGATGCCAAGTTCTGTACCTTATTGATCTTGTACTTTATCTATTTCTTTGTGTATTTATTTGTATTTTCTCTTTGAGTTTGTGTATCTCTCTGACTCCTGTTTGCATTTGCTTCTCGTTACGTAGGTAGGAAAAAAACAAAGGCTAAGCCAGCTCCTGAAGATTCAGTGAGTGCCATGGTAGAATGAGAAATATGAGGAGGCAAGGTGTGGTATGATGATACCTGGTCTGTTTCTTAGAGGACACAAGTGTAGAGACCAATTTGCTAATCATGTAGGAGGCAAGGTTTGTTCTTTCACTTTACGAGAGAAAAATCATGTATCGCAATGAGTTTGGGAGTCTTAAGGAAGGACTAATGGAATTTGAACCTCTGAAATGAAGGAATGTGACATGATGTTACAGATTGTTTATTAGGGCTCTTGCATTCTCAAAGCATATTTACCCAGCTGTAACTTCTTTCAAATAGCATTGAAATGAATTTTGTTGCTATATGAAACTTAGTTTGCTGCTGTTTTTCATTGGTTCTCATATAGGGGGCTAGAACCCTAGATTAGAAAAAAAAAAAAAGAATTGTTGATACATAATTTGTATTATCATTCTTCTTGTCCTGTTTAATTATGAAAAAAATAGAATAAAAGATGTGATGCTCTTTCAAATTGACACAATTTGATTCATAATACAGAAATAAATAAATTAAAAAGATTTATAAACATAAATGCTCGCAGCTTTCACCAAAATAGAGACATGATCGATCATGTTTCCTATTTTTTAAATTAAAAAAAAAAAAAAAATCCCTTGCGACATATTAGGTCATGACTGATGCTCCCCCCACCACCCACCCACACGCACACATTTTCAAGTTTTTCTATCATCAAATTCTTGAACTTTTTTTAAAAAACCAAAGGATTAGCTGATTACATGGCCAAGAGTCACGTTGGAATTTTTAAACACTATGGTTTTAAGTGTTTAGAAATTACTAAAAAAATTAAAAGATCTGAAATTTTTATTGCTCTTTTACTGCAGCAATTTTTTTTAAAGGGCTGGCCAGCATCTCAGCCCTGGAGAAGCAGGTTAAGCCGGGCTTGGAAGTAGGGTCAGGCAGGCTAGGCCTAGCTCACAAGCCTGCACAAGCAGTCCTGTGGGCCTTTTTTTTTTTTTTTCAATAATATTTTTTTTATCATGAAATTAGGTGTGAAAATATAAAATAAATATATATTTTTTTAGTTTTACGTATAATTTGACAATAATAAAATATATATGATATTTTTTTCTAAGATTTTTGTTTTAACACATATATATCTAATTATATTGTTTTTATTATTTAAAATTTATTTCTTTAATTGTTTGTTTCTTATTAAAATTCTCATCAAATTAATTTTTTTTATATAAATTTATAAATTTAATATTTTTTTATATATTGATTCTGAAATAAAATTTAAAAATGTAATTATTTTATTTTTTAAAATATATTATTATAATTTATAAAATTGATTATTTTTATGATTTTTAAATAAGAGTAGCGTAGTTACATATATAAATTATGATGTGAGAGAGAGAGAGATAATAGTGTGTTTAAGATAATTTGACTTAATTTCTTTAAAAAATAATAATCACTTAAAAAATAATTTGAACTAATTTTTTTTTAAATTGATAATTAGTTAAAAAATTCACGAGTTTTATTTGATTTTTTTTTTATATATATAATCAGAATTTATCGAAACCAATTCTATAATAGCTCTTATTAAAATCTATTCACTTCAATATATTCCATACGATTTTAGGAGTTTTTTTTGTATATTTTATTTATTTATTTTATATACTCGAATCAGTAAGTACGATACATATGTGGTAGTTTTCTTAAAAATTAATTATATCTACATACATTACACTAATTATTTGTTATTTATTTTTTTCATATTTTTAAATCTGTATTTTTAAATAAAATAATTTAATTAATGTTTTGAAAGAACCTCTTAATTATTCAAATACAAATTTTTATACTAATATTATGAATTATTTTATTAATAAATATATATAAATCAAACAAGTTCGCTTAATATATAGATTCGATTTATGTTAATTTCTAGAAACAAAACTTCTACTCGTATCTTACTATACGAATTGTTAACTTGCGTATATAATGATTGTCCGATCGTAGCCGTAACACGAGTATCTAACTAGTTTGAACTAAAATGTCTTGGATTGGACCTACACTAAAAAAGGCTTTTCTCAATATATGTATCTTCTCGCTCTTTAATTTTTTTTTTTATTGAGACTCGTCTATTTTATTTTTTTTTAATTGATTGAAACTCTCTATTCTTTATTTAGCTTTGATTGAAATCTTTTGCTATAACAATATTTATTATTAATCTAACTTAGTAGGTTATTGTTAGACTCGACCATTGAATGATTGAGAAATGACATTATGAGTCTTATAAGAGTCTCTATCAAAACTAAATTAAGAATAAAGGGTTTTAGTCGAGGCAAAATAAATAAATAAATAAATAAAAAGTCATCAAATTTTTGATACATTATCATATATAAATGCATAATTAAAGTTAAAATTTAACATACGTAAGCAATTAATGGTAGATACCGAAAAGAATGGAGGGATGTTCTCTTTTTTGAGTAGTTTTGCATTCTTTGCGATAAAAAAACAAAGTAATCAATCCTCTTAGTACATCACATTACTTTATCTTCTCTATTACCAACTTCATTATTTCTTAATTCACTCACTATCATTTTTTTTTACTTATCATGTGTTCTTTTTAGTTTTATTGCTCTTAATGTGATTCTTGAAATTTGTTGCTTCTTACTCGCTTATACAACTTTTTTATTCATTTATGATTAATTTGTTTGATAAATAAATTTAGTAGTGAATTTCTAAAATGATGTTGCACAACCAAAGACAGCTTGTAATTTCCTTTATCAAAAACTTGTAATATTCCTTAGTGAATTTTACCTTGAATATCAATGAAACACTTTCACCATCGAAAAAAGAATATCATATCAAAATCACTTCAAGTTACTAAACAAGACTCGGCGTTGCTACCTACAAGATTTGATCTAATTTATTTATCAAAAAAATTAATCATAAATGAATAGAGTTGTTTAAGCAGTAAGAAGTAGTAAATTTCAAGAATCACATTAAGAACAATAAAACTCAAAAGAGCACTCTATAAGTAAAAGAAAAATGATGGTGAATGAATTAAGAAATAATGAAATTGATAACGAGGAAGAAAATGTAACATGATGTGATGAGAGGATTGATTATTTGATTTCCTTTATCGCAAAGAATGCAAAACTACTCGGAGAGAGAACAACCCTCTATTCTTCCTCAATTTTCCAAATCGAATCTACCATTAATTGCTTATGTATATTAAATTTTAACTTTAATTATGCATTTTCATATGCTAGTGTACAAAAAGTTTGAAGACTTTTTATTCATTTTTGCCTCGATTAAGACCATATACTATTCATATAGTTTTGATTAAGACCCTCTACTATGTTGTGGAACCTACTATGTCATATGTCAATCATTTATTAATTGAGTTTAACGAGTAACATATCACGTCGATTAATAATAAACAATGTCATAATGGAGGGTTTCAATCAAAGCTAAATGAAGAGTACAAGGTCTCAATAATAATACAAATAAAATTAGAGAGTAGAGGGTCCATATATGGAGAAAATTAACCAACACAAAAAAGTAAGGTCCGATCATGGTTGAAGTACAATAAGCCCATTTAATGATCTAGTTGGTTTTTGGTCAAGTAATAAAATAATAATATTACTTGAGAATTGTGTTATTTCTTTATACTTTTTAATCTCTTTATTATGTCTAACCTATGTTATATTAGTAAACCCCCCTTCTTTTAGACCGACTTAATTTCAAGCACATTCGAATATGTTTTCTTTGATATTTATTTTTTAGTGTTCAGTTATTGGGGTGATTTTATAATATTTTATGTGTTTTCACATGCTATCATTACTCGTCATAGGGGATTATAAACATTTTTTATATCTTTATCTTCTCTCTTTATAAAGAACAAAAAAAATCCTTCTCTTCTTCAATATGTGTCATTGTTATTTTTATTGCATGTTATCATCTCTTGATATGTTTTTTTTCCAACCATGTTCTTTCTATTTTTTCCATTATCACAGCTTGGTTCACCTTCCTTACTAGGCAAGTCTTCCGACATTATCTCTCTCTATAGTTTATGAGGGATTTTGGAGGTAGTTATCTAGATTTAGAGGGCGTTGAAATAGATATGTCCGACATGGATATCCATTTTCCTTCTAACATTTCTATAAGCAAGCCTCGCCTAAAGTTTAATCCTCTCTTAGAGCAAATGGCCTTAGCTTATATTATGGAGATTTTAGGTTCCGGTTCTTTTGCATTGTCTAGCTCTTATGAGTCTTCATCATTTGATGAGTCCTCATCTAGCTCGGATGAGAATTCACCTTTTAAACCTTTTTTCTTGCCTTAAGATTCTCCGGTTGAGTTAACTAATAGTCCTTTTGATTATCTTGAGGTTGATTTATTTATTTTCCATTCGATGTTGATGAACTAGCATATTAACTCATTATTATCAAGATTGGATCATCATGAAGGAATTATACTTTGATTAAATCCTCATTGTTGAAAGAGATATTTAGGTCTAATAGGGATCTTTTAGGCAATGGCTTAATTATCATTGTCGTGGGGCAACGTTGAGGTGAGGCGACAGCTTTAGGAAATGGACAAAAATAATAGAGTCACTACGTAGTATTATGGTTACTAGGAAACCATATGGATGGTCTCGTTCATAATTTTAGGTAAGAGATTTATTACATGTAGTGAAGATTAAAAATTATCATATCTCATCCTATTTAAGGCAACTCGCATGGCATGCAAATCTAACTTGATTTTTGATTTTTTTGATGATGAAAAAATCTATGCCTACTCTTAAATTTTTGCCAACGAGACGAGTGATTTGAGACTTGACTAGTCAAAGGTCTTATCCTCACTTTAAAACATAATAAATCTAAAATTAAAACTCATATAATAGATATGGAAAAAGTATATAATAAAAAATGGAAAAGATAGTTCGAAAACAAGGTTCAAACCGACGTGACTTCAAATTCTAAATTGTTAGGTAAATCGAAAAAAATCATTGAAATTGGCAAAAATGATCTTAAAATAGGA